TTACTAGAAGTGATAGTTAATACTCGTTATTCGATAAAAAGCGTATTATAAACACTGTAGACGGCAGGTTCTGTAAGCTAGTCTACCTTTCTTAAACACTTGTAGACGGCAGGTTCTGTAAGCTAGTCTACCTTTCTTAAAACACTTGTAGCGGCAGGTTCTGTAAGCTAGTCTACCTTTCTTAAAACACTTGTAGCGGCAGGTTCTGTAAGCTGTCTACCTTTCTTAAAACACTTGTAGCGGCAGGTTCTGTAAGCTGTCTACCTTTCTTAAAACACTTGTAGCGGCAGGTTCTGTAAGCTGTCTACCTTTCTTCATGTCAATAGTACGAATTTAGGGAGAGTTATATCTGAACCCTAAACTTAACCGTTTAGCTCACGTGCGCATAAATTGCCGTTTAGATTGAAAATTCCGATGTCAGTTCCTTACGGAGAGAGTTTTTCGTATATAATACAGTTTCTATAACATTTTGAGAAAACAACAACAAAACACTTCCAACGTTTCCCCCACTAATAGATAGCGTGTTTGTTTGTTTCGGGTATTCTGGCACAGGAGGTATCTGCGTTAGCGTTCCTAATTTTGAAATGATAGACTAGAAGAAAGACAAACAGTCAACGGTACCCACCGCCATCTTTTGGGTTGTAGCCACTAATCGTCACACTCTTATAATGCACCCCCGTCCCCAAGGTGCAGAGCACGATTTTGTGGCAATGGAACTTGAACTATAATCACCAAATTCACTGTCCGACATGCTAGCTATTAGGCCACACCCAGCCTACTAATAAACAGTTCTCACTATTCTGTAAAATTACAAACGTAACATGTCTTTCTGGCCGCGTAGACCGCGTCAGCGAATGTGCTCGCCCTTTCAGCCATGGGGGTGTTATAATGTGACGGTCAATCTCACTATCCCATCTACCCCCGAGTAGGTCCGGCAGATCGGGCAGCAGACGGACCAACATTTTGTCACAATAACTGTAGGGCTTTTTAAACTTTAACTTCAAGAATTGTTTCTAGGTAAATAGATGGGGCTTATAGTAATATAGTAGTGTGTATAAATCAGTATAACAATGCGTAATATATTATACGTGTAATCTGCAAGTGTACGTGCTGGTACTTGCTTATAGCTATGGTGAGTATAAGTGCCAGTGAACACCAATTTTTGTGAATCATAAAGAAGTGTTTGCAAATTATTAACACTTTCAATAAATTATAGTAAAATTAGCACAAAATTCGATCTCGGAGCACCTATTTTTCAAAATTTTCATGGGGCATTCCCCCAGACCATCCTAGCACTGGCATGCTTTGCACACTACTCTGAGTTCCCTGACCAAACAAAAACATCTTCCTTCACCCTTACATCCGTTAGTAAAAGAGTAGCCCAAGAGGTGGATGTTGGTGGTGTTGGCTACCCGCCTCCCCTCTAGTCTAGTCTAGTAGCTTTACGTGAAATTCTAAACAAAACAAACTTAGCCACGTAGAAATTAGTGTATTGGTTTCTTTAAGACAACGGTGGTCATCTCATTTAATACAGTAATGTACGAAACTAATGCATGCGTAAAGCTAAAAAACAGTTTCTAATTTGATCAAACCTATAAAATGCATTTAAGGCTAGTTACATCTTATAAGTTTATCAACAATTAGATATATTTTTACTGATGCCAGACTAGATGTACAGTTATTTCCATGAAGTATTTTTGAAATTATCTAGTCTATCGGCTGGTTCTAAGGTCGGCTTCTTGCTGATGTATAAAATACAGTATAAAACAATAGCACATTGGGTGACAAATCTAACCAAAATACAAGCCAGTGTGTGTGTCACGTCACGCTTAATATATTCATTTTTTTTTCAAAATTTTTGTTTGTTTGTTTGTTTATAATTAAGCACAAAGCTACACAAAGGGCTAACTGTGCTCTGCCCACCACGGGTATCGAAACCCGGATTCCAGCATTGTAAGTCCACAGACATATAGTTGTGCCACTGGAGGGGGGCAGTCATAAAAATCAAAATGCATTTGTCCAGATATAATAATTCGATTACTGTCTGCCCATTACGATTTAAGTGACGGGGTGCAAGAAGGCAGTGAGAGGATCTTCCATGAAACTTTATAAGTGTAGTGAGTGTTGGGATCACCTAGCCTAAAGCCAAGTGCATAAAATCTATCATGAAAGTAAAAATATCGATTCAATTTTAACTTAAATCGTTTCTGAATTAAGCTATTTTCTCTTACATACATCACCAACGTTTTTAATAATAAAAAACTCTTTAATCAACGGAGATTCTAAATTAAGAAATCAATAAATATTTTCCAGTTTTATTGTCTATACATTTCATTTTATGCTATTTGTACATAGACTAACAAAAATATTAGGTTATATTTTTTTGCTGAGCAACATGACATAAAAGCCATTTGTTGAAACGTAGTATTACCAAAACGTATTGGCTTTTCTATATATTAGAAGGAAGTTGTTAATCTAACTGATAACTACCGTTAATTATTCTATGAATACGCCACGAATTTATTTCATGAATGATCTTTATTTTGATTGGCTCACAAAGGAATTTACTGACGTTTGACTGCCTCGACTGCACTTTCTGCCTCTTTGTTGGTCAAGCTTGATTTCGCAAAATGTATTTATTTCAGTTAGCTATAAAATGTGAGGTTAGGGTATACTATGGGGTTGGGGTGGGGTGATAGTACTTGCCCCATAATTTCTGACAGGCTATATGCTAGTATTTTATAAATGAACAGGTGAGAATTGTTGAGGTATATCATCTATGTTGTTGTCTTCGTACAAACCTACAGAATGGACTATCTGCACTCTGTCCAACACGGAGAATCGAACTCCGGATTTTAGCGTTATAAGTTCGTAAACTTACCACTGTTCCACCGCATATCTCTTATTAGTGCCGTTAGACACATGACATAAAATGCCATTCTATGAAACTCTAGTTTTTAAAATTATCTGCATAAACCATCAATGTCTACAGTTTTCAAATATTTATAGAAAACTCAAAATTTGCTAACACTCATATAGTAAATAATAGATTACTAGTAACTGACAGATGCATAATTTTTTTTTATTTTGCTTGTTCTTGGGCACAGACTGTTCAGTTTTTCTAGAATTACTCCATGGACAATAGCTTCTCTTTGAAGGAACTCCTCCACGACCTAAGAGCCGTGTTGGCGGGCGTTGTCTTTCACACGGACCAAGTCGTTACCAATAGTGTAAGGTCTAGTATCTCATCCCTGTAGCTGGCAGTGGTAAAAAAAAAGCTATCAGAGGTCAGTCTTGTCATTAAAGCTGATGCAATTCCAGACCATGATAGACCCATAACTATAGTGGTCGTGCTCAGCTGCGTTAGTTTGTAATAGCCCAGGTCATTTCAAGTCTTTAGCCCAGCAGTTTGTGAATTTAAGATAAAACCTGGGCGCATCCCTGGAAAGCACTATTATCCAGTCTTGAAATAGTTCAAGTCAGGTGGTCTTAACTGTCTTGATTGTGACGTTTGGTCAACAGAATCCTACTAAAGGTTTTTCGTTGCCGCAAACTAACTAACCTTTTTGAGTCTATTACAGACAGTTTGATATAATACAAGATCTCCAATTGCGTTTTGAAGCTCACAATGGAGCTTCTGTAGTGTTTAAGTGGGGTGTCAACAAGCCTGTATACATATATCTACGGTCTGGAATCAGTCCTCTATTGGGTTTGTTGCTTGTTCAGCCATCATTGTGTCGTTTCTTTAAATCTCAATAGGTTGTTTGTCGCTCCCAAACACAGGTAACAAAATACTTTGGATCACACCTGTGGTAGTAGCAACATCACCTAAAAACACTTCGTTTTGTAGCATACTGAAATCACGTGACAGTACCTTTGAATTTAAATGCTTTCTGGCACGCGCTTGAACAATAATGATGCAAAGTGCAAGCGTTCAGTGCAATAGGTAAGTCACGAGACATAGAGCATCCCATGTGGTAAGATTCCCTTTATTAGAGAAGTCTGTAATTCATCTGAGTGGTGCTATTAATTAGTATGCAATAAATGATCAGGAGGGAAGACTACTCACTCATCGCTTGAATCTAAATCTTATTGTTACTCATACCCTCATAGGTTTGGGAAAAATCTGTATCCATTTTTTCGTATTGGGAAACAGTGATTTCTAGCATACTTGAGTATTATTTTTATCGTCAAACTTTAAAAAAATTATCAAGCTAAGTCTTACGCGAAGATAACCGAGAAATATCAGAGTTTGTCTTGAAACACTGTCATATTAAATCGACATATAATATGTTTGTTTTTGAATTTCGCGCAAAGCTACACGAGGGCTATCTGCGCTAGCCGTCCCTAATTAAGACTAGAGGGAAGGCAGCTAGTCATCACCACCCACCGCCAACTCTTGGGCTACTCTTTTACCAACGAATAGTGGGATTGACCGTCACATTATAACGCCCCCACGGCTGAAATGGCGAGCATGTTTGGTGTGACGGGGATTCGAACCCGCGACCCGCAGATTGCGAGTTAAGCTCCCTAACCATCTGGCCATGCTGGGCCCCATATAATATGTAAAGTATATCAGTCAATGGTTTAAGCGATCTTTCTAATTTATCTAATTTTTTTTCCAGAATTTATAATTAACTGACGCCAACATGAAGTTGATGAAGTGGATGGAATTACACTTTGGGCGTTCACGCCGCAAATGCAAGAAGGGAAAGACACAAGATCCACCGTCAGACAGCCAAGAATACATCGGGTGTTTAACCATAGATGATGAGATCCCTTCTGAATTTCCTGGCTTGGACAATATATTTTCTCATACTATTAATCCCAGAGGTTGTCTAACACCTCAGCTTCCCAATAAAAAGAACAAGAAACCCGTTAACATTAGAACCAGCTTTCTAGATCTAGCAGTTTTGCCAGACACCAACTCACCTCGTCAGAGATCTAGGATAAAAACGAATCCCTGGCTACCATCACGTGGCTCCATCTCTAGTTCTATGAGTAGTGGCTCCCAGTCGTCCAGCACCTCTGAAAACTCGGAGAATTGTGAACTAGTAATGAAACCACCTGGACCATGGGCCTCGCTTTCGTTTCTTCCAAGTGGTCGAGAATATAGCCCTCTACCGGCAATTCGAAGAATCAGGCTACTGGAATGGAGCTCGGCAGATAACAGTCGGCTTCCATGTTCTCCCGTATTTTCTAACTTTAAGTTGAACGAGCAATCCAGCCTACGACGAATGATCGCAACGCCAATATCTCAGCTGGACTCTAGCGCCAGCCTAGAGAATGAACCCAGCATTAGACCAGAAATCAACTCTACAAACATCGATACGTCAGCAGATTCTTTTTACAAAAAGTGGTTTCTAGACCCTAATCTGGAAGTTGATGAAGCTTTTTCAGAAGATTACCAATTATCGGAAGATGGTGATTCTGTGCCCACAGTAAGCCCTACAGTTGCAAGCAGTCCACAAGCAGATAGTGCCTGTGGCAGCTGTAGCACCACGCCTCTTTCAGAGACTGCACAAGACCACCTAGAAAAGCCTGATTTTGAGGAATCACTGGACGAAAAGATGGTAAGGCTACAAGCTCAACGTCAGCAAATGGCAGAGAAAATGACCGCAGCCCGCCAGGATGACCAGCAAAGACAAGAAGAAGCTGTCCGTCTTCAGCAAGAGCTTCTGGATTACCGAAGAGCTCTGCTGCTACGAACTCTTCAAGGATTGCGGAATCGTCTTGAACAACAAGGTGAGAGGCTTCAGAGGGCTTATGGCGCCACTGTAGAAATGAAGATGAAATTTAAAGATAATACTTGGGCCGAAGAAATAAATTAATGAAAATAGAAAAACTGTACTTACAAATATCTTACCCCTTAAAAAAAATTTACAATGAATACTGTGACTTCACATTTCTCCAAATCATTCTACAAATTTAATTTATTCTCACTTTTGTAGAACAAGTTGTTGCTGTTGTTGTTTTTACCGCAAATCTACACAATGGATTATTTGCGCTCTGTCTATTGTGGAGATTCGATTTTAGCTTTGTAAGTCTGTAAACTTAATGGAACAAGTCTGAGATGTTGTAACTTCTTATCTTATAACTAGCATATTCATCTCCAACGCCTACCTTTGTATTATTCAAGCTAGTTAGCCACTTTGTAGTTTAAAGTAGATTTTTATTGTAGCTGGTAATTAAAAATCCATTTTTTCCCAACTCTAATCCCGATCACAAACCTTATTTATGATTTTCAAAGTTATCGCATTAACAAAAAATGCTAAAATTGCTGATTTCTACAGTGGATAAACAAATTTAGTTCTCATGCTGATGAACAGTGATTTAATTCAAGTTTATTCTTATCAGTTCTTTCTAGATCTGGTACATGCCTCTTCCTTCTCAACGTAAACATACTTCATATATGGTTCCACTACGCCATTCTGGACAGATTTCAGTCTAATTGGTTCTATTATTTAGAAACCAGGTGTAGTCTCATTTTTTTTCCACGTAATTCGTTTTTTTAATTGATATTTTGAAAGCTTCTTCCAATAGCGACGTTTGGCTTCATTCTCCTTAATTAATCTCCCTCGAACACGTTCCTAAACCATCTAAGAAGCGCCTAATCATTAAACATGCGTACTACAGGTGTCATAATGTTGTATTACTGCAGATTTTCTCGTTAATTAGTATTACTCTGTAGTTATATGATAAACATTATGAAACGTTAAGATTTTTACATTTAATAGCATTCTTTAAATGTTGCAAAATTCCTCATGTTCTTTCTAGGAATACTTTATACAAGTCAAGGTGTTTGTGTAGAATATAATAAGCTTTAAAAATTAAAAGCTTTATATGTATTACTAGTCGTAGCACAAACATTTAAAACGTAATAGAAAAACGTTAGTGAAATGGAATTCTATTCAATCTGTGAATTTTGTGTAGTTCTTTAAAATCCTATTATATTTCAGAACGTAGGGTTAGAACAAATGTGAATACCCTTATCTTTCTTTATGTGTTTTTAAGCAACAATAACGATGTAGTATAATAACGTAGAAACCTTTAGGATATCAAATAAAGTTAAGGTTTAATTTCAGAATATTAATTACCATATTGTTAACAGAACAATGTTTCTTGGTAGTGGAACAGTTACGCATTGTTAATAGAACAATGTTTCTTAGTAGTATGACAATTATTGCATTATTAATAGAACAATGTTTCTTCGTAGTATGACAGTTACTGCATTGTTAATAGAACAATGTTTCTTAGTAGTGTGACAGTTAGTGCATTGTTAAAGAACAATGTTTCTTAGTAGTGTGACAGCTACCGCATTACTTACAGATCAATGGTTATTGGTAGTGTGCTAAATAAATTATCTCAGTGTAATCTTGTAATCATTATAGCACACTCGGTGATCTCTATCTTCTCGATAATCTTTTGGTCTTTCCAGGAATTAAAAAATTGTAGAGACATCTTAAGAATACGGCCGAAATTATAAGTAAATTAATCAAAATTTTCCTCTGTTTTTTGTGTTCAAATGAATTTCCGCACGACGCTGTAATGATAGTCACACACACAAAAGCAGAAAGGCAACACCTAATTTGATATATTTTAATTCAAGCGAATTTAAGATAAAGTTTTTCGTCAGGTTTTGCGTCAGAGATACAGTGTATTTCATAATGAAACATAAATATTCTTTAGAAATAGCATATGCGGGAAAGAACTCGATAACGAAGCCTTCCTTCTCGATTTTATCATTACCTTTATAAATGAGAAACTAAAGGCTTCCTTCTACTGCAAACCTACAAAGAAATATCTTTGTGTTGTTTACAGGTAACTTAATTTAACTACAACAAAGGTTGCCATTCTTAAATGACAGTTCATAAGTCTTAGAAGAATTTGCTCAATCAATGAAATATTTCCCACAGTTTCAGGAGAGACAATACTCCAATAAATGAATATCCAAGGCTAGAAACGATCCTTTTTTTTTCTCTCATACAAAGATTTTACGGACCAAATAATAATCTAACTTGATAGATATCTTCAATCAAGGAAAAGAGAAATTTAATAGGCTACATTCCACTTATTTTGACCAAAGAAGGAAATGAGCTAATAGAAACCATCCCACTAATTTGGACCAAAGAAGAGTCCCACTCAGCAGACTCATTCATTTTTAATATCCCACCTCTTAAACTACCAAATTGATTTAATAATTTCCCATCATTTTAATACATGAAATGTACATTCAAATCTACATTCAGTTTTTTTTTACAAAGAGTCTTTCTGATTTGTCATAAGCGCAAACAAAATTTAAAGTAAACATGTGTTAACTCTTTGCAAAATGAGACTTGTACGAAACACATGTATGTAAACAACAACGAAGCCAGGCAAAATTATACCTCATGCGTGACCGCGTGGACTCCAGTATACTAATGAAAAGATTGACGATCTCTGTCAACATTCAAGGACAATACAGTTGTATGTATGGCTTTATGGTATTCGATGCACTAAACAGAACATACTTTAGATAAGTAAAACATCACGCAACATTTATTAAACACCTTGGATAAGACAAGTAAAAAAATGGTGATACTGACCTTCCAGTATCGAGGGCGTGGACTCCAGTATACTAATGAAAAGATTGACGATCTCTGTCAACATTCAAGGACAATACAGTTGTATGTATGGTATTCGATGCACTAAACAGAACATACTTTAGATAAGTAAAACATCACGCAACATTTATTAAACACCTTGGATAAGACAAGTAAAAAAATGGTGATACTGACCTTCCAGTATCGAGGAGCTTTAATTCTGATAATAATTACGTTACTGACAGTCACATCCTCGTTCTGAAACGTAATCTTCCGAATACAATTATGAGATGAAAAGAAGAGTGTAGGATAATATAGACACATGTGCGTGCGTATTGTCTATATTATGTGTATACCCTTTTATTTTAGTTATACTTGTATATCCCTACTAGAAGATCAAAATTATTAACTTCATGTTTCAATAACTCTCACACTGGATTTAGTATTATTATGGATTATTATTGGTTTTGCGGGCACGTGCCGTATATATGTTAATTTTACAAAACACTTATTTTCCGTATTGTAACACGAGATAAGTTTACAGTGAAACCTGACGAAACATGATCACCCGTAAAATCGCTAAGTCGAATGTTAGGACGAGAAGGTTGATTTACTGCTGTGTATATACGTGGCTATCTGATGACTTCATTTCTGTCATGTACTTTTGATAACGTGAAAAATAACTCTACGTGCACAATAAAACATGCCACAGTAAAAAGACGTTTATAAATGTAGATTGAGTTAAATTTAAGCTAAACTCTAGAGAAGCTTTAGTACCGGCATATAGCACAAGTTTCTTCCCTCCAATTATGTAGTCCTACAGCAGCACATTTGTCAGTGCGCAGTCTAGATTTTATACCAAATTCCTAACTACCAACTTCGGCTATAAACATATTAACTTTTTTTACTTATTCACTATTAGGTCTAAGTTTGTAACATCAAGCGCCCAATGTAAATAACAGAGAATTAAGCTTTTGATATAAACAATAGAAGACGAAGACTATTAAATGCTGTTCGTCACCATGCCTACAGGACAAATAAACATAAGCCGCCTAATTTAATAAATAATTGTACAAACAAAACAAAACTCCACCGTTATAAACTGCTAATATTGAGTAAGAGTAACCGGATTATTCATTTTTCCGTCCTCCTACTCAGACGTTAATGTCTTAGCAGTTAAAGAATTTTTATTAATTAACTATCTAACGTATTTTCTCCACGCTGTAGACTAGGTCTACTTTAACACATAATTTTGATTATTATCGTTTAGATGCGACATGTTGAGCAGGTATCCTTCATCAGGCTTAACAACATACAACTTGGTATTGCAGTTTAGTTTCGAACAACATCCGTGGAAAAAAAGTATACAAAATAACGTCCATAGAAAACTAATCAAAATTTTTGTTTCTTTGTTTGTAGTTTTAAGCACAAAGCTACACAATGGGCTGTCTGTGCTGTGCCCACCATGGATATCAAAACCCGTTTTTAGTGTTATAAATCTCCAGACTTGCCGCTGAGCCACTGGGGGACACTAAGCAAAGGAATTTGTGTTATTTACGATTGAACCGAGCTTCATATTGTTACATATACAACAACTATTGTTATGCTTTGAGCGCTGTTTTTCTGAGCTGGTGAAGTGCTATAATAATTAATTATGCTTGTATAAGACATTAATATTAAGCCTATTATATTTTTCACATTTAATTCTTTATTCAGTCCCTTTGGATTTTTCAAGAAGAAGAAATGTGTACATTAATATTTCAATCACACCATATCCGCCAAAAAATTCATCATCGTATAAAAACAGTAGTGTTTGGAACAACAATTGTTATGGAATGAACCCCCCTTTTAAGCTGACAAAACATGACCGTAATTAATTATCCATGTCATAAAACATTGATATTAGGCCTATAATACTTTTAACACTACTTTCTTTATTCAGTCCCCCTTGAGTTTTTTCAGGATATGGCGGACACTCTTCATCTTCTAAAACAACAACAACAAAAGACTGAATAAATAATGTAGTGTTAAAAATATAATAGGCCCAATACTAGTATTTTATGACGAGTATAATTTCTTATAAGTAGTGTTCAAGCACAATTTCGCTTAACAGCAAATGTAAACTTTCGTCTTCACATTGTAGGGATATTGCAAGAATATCAGTAAATCTTATGGTTCCAGTAAAGAAGAGATACAATACTGTTTGTTAAGTTCTGACGTAACAGAGCTATTAAAACAATAACCCAATCGTTTGTTGTAAGTAAGCAAATATGTACACATTGTTTATATAACACGCTCTCTTATGTTTAAGGAGTCAAAAATGATTCATTTAATCCCTAGCTTTTTGACTGAAGAACGTACTTTCGATAGTGTTTAGAAAGTATATAAGAAACAATGTATAAATGACAGAAATTTGAATTACAGAGAGTAAGAATAATGGTAATGTACGAACACGCTCTTATATATATATATACATAGAATGAGTAAATAAATAACTATATATATATGTGTGTGTGTGTGTGTGCATATAAAACGAATGAATATTTATCTCTCTATAAACTTTGAAAGATCTTATTAAAAACAGCTGGAAAACATTTCTGTAAAATGTAACCATCATTACCAGTTAGGAGTCTGATTCTGAATTGGTATACTTTCACAGAAAACATTAATTTCAATAATAAGGTAATAGTTCCCTTTTAATACAAATATAAATATTGTGAAAGAACAGTAACAGCGATGTTAGATTAAAACATAATAATGTGCATATATGTATATATTTCCACATATATACTTGTAATTGACTTGATGTGCGTATGAGTTTATATATAGCTACACATGTGAAAATGTATAGAATATGTATTGATTTCTGTAGCTGGTGAATTCCCCTGCCTCTCAATATTTTAGGGCCATTAACCATAATATTAAAAGGGTCGATTAGCAGCCAACCGTGTAATAAGGTTCAGTGTTTAGGTACAGTTAACACTTTCTTGAGTTACCTCAGAACAGAGAAAATAGAGTAGATGTAGACGAACATCCCCAATAAATATGAAATGTTTCATACAAAAGCATAAAACTATGGTAAACAGCAACAACTATATACTATAGTTAAGTAGCAAGATTAACAGAAATTTAGTGGTTATTTCCTTTAGCACTAGATGGCGACTGTTTAGAGATAGTTATAATTTGCTGACTTGTTAATCTATTCGTATTTGTTTATAAATCATCTTCTTACAAACTCACACCCTGTCCTTTTTGGTGTAAAATCAATGAAGGTTATCATTAGTTTAATTCATATATTCTTTCAGAATTTTTACTGTCGGTGTTGCTATGTGTGTGTGATAAAATAATTTATTTACTTATATTTAAATATTTGTTTACATCTAAAGAATGAACGATGTAACTGCATCCAGTATACAATTTACTATTATATTTAGAATTTTTCTTACCAGTTTGAATCGCAGACTTAAATGTGTTTGCATACTGAGGATATTAGTCATTAGAAGTGAGAATGTATGCATTTATGTGCGTGTCTGCATACTGTAGGTTTTTAAACTTTTGTTACAAGAGTCACTGATTTAAATTTTTCTATGTTTAGAAGATTTGATGTTTACTGGTGTGGGTTTCAGATTTTAATTTGACTGCACCATAAGGGTTTATTGGCAAGGAATGCAGGTTGAGGGTTACAGATTGTAATTTGACTGCATCATGAGGGTTTATTGGCAAGGAATACGGGTTGAATTTTGTCCTCGAACTCAAAGTTTCATTCCTTAGCATTTTTGTGTAACCTGTGAGTGAATCTCTCTGCTCTAGATAATTAATAATTTATGCAGAACTTCATTCTGCTCTAGATAATTCATAATTTATGCAGAACTTCATACTCGGATAAAATCCGAAGAGTTTTTCTTTTTCATTTTAACAGTGTTTGCACGTTTTAAGTCAATTCATACTAGGTGTTTGTATTCCATCACTATAAGAGGCCTACTTCACTTTGGTTTGTTCTCTCAAGTAGTACTGATAAGTCGTGAAGCTGGAGAAGCCAGTCTATTACAGAATAAGTAGTAGCGAAATAAAGAATATATTATGTCTCTATGACGTTTATTGATTCTTTCTTTCTTTTTCCACCGAAATCACGTTTTACAGAAGGAATGAAAAGTTCACAATTAATATCTTTAAGTATTATATCTTAAATTTGGTCAACAGAAGCTGGAAACGGTGAATATTCTCACATTTTGATTTGCCCATTTGTTATTTTAAAACTCAGTGTGATTAGTTTAAGTCTTTAAACATACATTAATTCTACAGGCTCAATAATGGATGTTTGAGAGGCTACATGACAATGAATAAACACTTAAATATTACATAATTGAGTGTTATGATTAGATTTCAAGACTTTGGTAGTATTAGTATGCATGATTTTGAACATATTGCAAAAGATTTTCGATCCAGAACCTAGTGCATACTGTGGCAGTTTTCCACACAGTTTGTTCCGTAAGTAATTGAGATACGTGTTAGATCTCAGGTATCATGTTACGTGCTTTGTTCAAGTTTTATGATAAACGTTTCAGATTTGTATTTGTTAAAACTTCGAGAACACCCGCCCTATTATTTGTTTTTCTTTTCAAGTTGGAATGGTCATGCACGATTAGAAAGTTTTCAATTTGTTTACCTGACTAATCACATAAAACTTAACATTGGCTAATACCAATATTTGGTTGATTATAGATTGGTTTGAACTGATAAGCTATAGATGAACATTTTTTTTCTAGCATTTACTAAAAGATACTAAGAAAATAAAGGTCAAACTACTGAAAACATCCATGTTGTAGTTTAGAATAATTTGGAATTGTGAAGTGTTGTGGCCATGGTGTTTCCAAGGCAAAAGCTGTGATCATTTAAAAAGAAATTGTATGTGATTGTGAAATAAAGATGCAATAAAAAGGCTATTCTGTTTGAATATTATTACAATCGTTATACACATTAGTCCCTAAAAGCCAATAAGACGATTTAGGAAATAATGCTTATCTGTACTATCTACTAAAATAACTAAATAAAATCAACAAACACTTTTATTTCTAGTTTGTTTATAGCTGCAATATAATTCTGAAAGTACCACGTAAGCTACGTGAAGATTCAATGTAGTAATTTATGCTTACTAAATACGTATCTCATAGATTAGTATACAACTTAGTTTCAGGACAACAACATAAAACCTGAACGTAGTTCAACAAACCTAGTGAATGATCAAACTTTGTCCTTGTATTACGTTTCAACATCATTGTGCAACGGCAGTTACAAAGTGCACCATTAAACAGAAAATGCCACTTTCTGTCATCTAACTGTAATCTATTTAAACGGACCCATTTGTCATCATCACTACATAGTCATTATTACATGTTTATCGTGATAACCATTAGAAATCGCCAATTCACTTGTTTATAAACCCAATATGGAGATCGGAACAGCAACTGTAGCGATTATAAGTGCCCAGATAAGTAAGAAGTCGACGTCATATATCTGGATTAAGGCCTAAGTTCCGCAGTTACTGCGCACCTTGTTCGACTTTTGTTTAACTCATCTGAATTGACAATAAAACCATTGGGTCCTGTACTCTTCGCGGATGACCTAGTTTTCAAGATTCGTCCAGTGGTGAATGGGTTTGAATGACTTTTGTTTAACTCATCTGAACTGACAATAAAACCATTGGGTCCTGTACTCTTCGCGGATGACCTAGTTTTCAAGATTCGTC